CGTGGTTTCCTTAAAGGATTATAGGGATCGGTCTTGGCGGGTGGTCTTGGCCCCCCTCGCTTCCTTGCTTGTGCTGGGCAGGTTTGCCAGTCTAGGGACAGAGCATTCTCAAGGTTGTTAAGTTAACTGCTGTTTCTTTGGAGAAAGTTGCACCTGCTCGCAGCCTTCCCTTGCGGAGGTCTGCTGTGTTCCCTGTTGGGGGAACTTTGACTTTCTCACTCTTTCGGGGGGCCCTTTGACTTTCTCAATGGGCAGTCAATTATTTCAGAGTTCTAAGAGCCCAACATGAAGGTTAGTTATTTACTTCTAGATTGATGCAACTTTAAATGTAATTAATAGTTCTCTGAGTCCTGAGTGCAGATCTTTTTTTTTCCCTTTCCCCAGAGTAGTTCACTGTCTTAATTACGTTAATGGGAGAAGAGGCAGCCCTGACTGATGGCTCAGTAGGTCTGCAGTAGTGGTTTCAGCCATTTGGATGCCTTCAGTCTGAACAGCTGGGCCATCACTCTCCTCTCCATTGGAGGCAGACAGCCCATTAGTACTCACCACTTCTTGGCTCTATGTCTCCAGTGTCCACCGCCCAAGGAACAGATGATTAAGTGACTTATTTCCAAAGGCACCAAACAAAAAGAAGGGAGATCGTATGAGAGAGAAATCTACTTTCATGAAAAGTATGCCATCTTGCCCAGAGTGTTCAGGTGCTGGTTTTGAAAGCCATCAATCTGATATTGTGCACAAACACCAAAAGAGATGAAAGAGAAAATAGTTACTCCAGTCCCAACCCCTTCTCCATCTCTCCCAGCATTCTACTTCCTCCAGCTCTGACAAAGCCACAGCATCATTTTCAAGTGCAGAATGCCTACCTAGTGGGTTGGGCTTGCTGTTGGCTGTGAGACCACATTCTCTGAGTCTGCAATTTGGGGAGGGTTGTCTTTGAAAACTGCTGAGTTCTCAGGTATTGGATCCCTAGAAGAGCCTTTTTCCTTTTTCCTCCAACTTTTTATTTTGTACATTTTCCAGTCTACAGTGGAGTTGCAAGAACAGTACAATGAACTCCCATATATTTTTCTCCTTTATTGGCCGATTGTTAACATTTTGCCACTTTGCCTTTCTTCTCCCTTCTTTCCTCTTTCCTACTCTCTCTCCTTCCCCACTGTCTCTTCCATCTCTCTCTCATTCCCTCCCTCTGCATCCCCACATATACACGTGTCAATATGCATATGGTTATTTCTTGTGAACCATTTCAGAGTATGTTACAGACATGACAGGTCTCCCCTACATCCATCCGTGAGCATCTCCTAACAACAAGGACATTCTCCCACACAAGACGTCTGCACACGGGAAATTCAACATTGATGCAATAGTATTTCATATATGGCCTGTAGTAAAATTTCCCCAATTTCTCCCAATAATGCTCTTTGTAGCATTAATAAGAGCAAACAGCACATTGTGGAGGCTCTGATGGAGATATGTGTGGGGTGCAGTGAGGCTGTGAAGGAGGGGGTTGTGGGTTTGGTTTGGGGAGCAGGAGCTGTCAGAAAAAGCTGTCACAGAGGAGGTAACCCTTGAGCTGAAAGATGTTTATCATTTAGACAAGGCAGGAGAGCAGGCCCGGAAAGGAATCAGGAGGGAATGTGTGTGTGTGGGAGTGCTTGTCAGGGGAGGGCTGGGGGCACAAAGGGAGGGAGAATGTGAGACTAGAAGAAAGGGGGGAGACAGGTTGGACTTTATTTACTCCTTTAGAGATTTTAGAAAGATGACTCTGGCTGTAGTGTGGAAAAGAAAGAAAGGGGGACATGACAGAAAGTTGGAAGGCCAGTTAGGAGCTATAGCTGTACCTTTCCAGAGGGGGTTGCTCTGTGTGTCCTTTCTTATTGCCAATGGTCTCCCCACTGTCTGTAATATTAATGACAGTTTCTGGAATGGTGGATTGCGTTGTCATCCTGGGAAGAGTAGGATGGACTAGAAGGTGGAGCTCATGTCCCACCCTTTTCCCTGGGCCACCTCCTGCCCTCATTTACTAATCAGGACAGTGGATGGGGTGGTCTAGCGTCCCAGTTCTTATGTCCAGTGAACTCTCACCTCCCTAGTCTGCCGATGGAAGGAAACTGTTCTCATTGGCCCGAAGCAGATAATCACGATGTATCGGGGCGATGGAAAGAAGTCTGGGGTGGCAGTTGGGAGCCCTGAGGTGCTCTGCCTGCTTCTAGGTGTAGGTATGGTGCCTTCCCTCCATCCTCCCCATCTCTGTCCCCTCACCTGTGAGACCGGGGCCTTGAACGCCATCAGCTTGAAGGTCCCTTTTGGTTCTGATGTTCAGTGATTTAGGGTTCTGAGTGGATGCTTTTTCCTATTTATTTTGTTTTAATCCTTCAGCTTCTGAGTTCAGAAATGCTGAGCACATTAGGGGAAATACCTTAAATCCTTGCCCTTTTGAAAAGTACATAACGAGAGAGTAAATATTGTAGCTGGTTCCTTCCTGGTAATTTTAATCTTGGGTACAAACCTGAGAATTCTTGTTGTCCAGAGGTGCAGATGTTGCCGGAGAAGCTCCACTTCCACAAGGAGGGGCAAGGATGCAAGTCAGGGTCCTGGAATCATTTTCACTTGGAGTTCTATCAGGTTGACCACCCTCCGTGTAATTCTGTCCGCCACCTCCCCTGGCTTGCCTCCTGATCAGAGGGCCCCCGGCTGGCCCCTGGGAATGGAGAGTGCAGGAAATCATTTGGGGATTGTCTGGAGATGTGGACGTTTGTGGCAGCTTTTCCTTTTTAATTGATTTTGCCTCACTGGGGGGGTCTCCAAGGCTGCTTAAATCCACAGTCCTCAACCTGCACAGCCTGTCTGGGGAGTTCCCAGGGGAACCCTGCAGTGGCTGCGGGGGAGAGAAGAGGGGCAATGTTTGCGGGTCTTTGGCTCTCGTTCTTTACTCTGCCATTGGCCACCCGCATGGTAGAGGCCCTGGGGAGAACACAGCGGCCTGGCCCATTACCCTCACTGGAAGGGCAGAACCCAGAGAGCACAGTGATGGCTGTTGAATGTGACCTGTCCCCACAGAAAGACATAGAAAGTAGTAACAGTAGCATCTGAAGGCCATCCTGAGTCAGGATGTGCTTTTCCTGGCCAGCTCAGATCCTTGGGCAGCTGGATTCTTAATTTTGTCAAGTTGTGGCTGAAAGAAAATCAGGACATCTCCATTAATTTGCATAGTCTTGTTTTAAATAATCTTCTAGTATATTATAAAAGCAAAGCAGAAAGATACTCAGGAAAAAAAAAGTAAAAATCACTCAATTCTATCACCAAGAGACATGTGTTAACATTTGGGGTCTTTTTATGATACTTGGATTGTGTTACGTGTTCAATTTCACATCTGGCTGCTTTTTTACTTAACACAGGTAGATTTTCCCCTGACATAGTTTTAAATGAAAGATAGAAAAGCATTAAAGATAACCAATGTCACTTCTCCAGTGGCCTGGGCTTTCTCTAGTTTCTTTTGAAATCTCTGTGTTTTGCTGACCTCATGTCTGCCTGTTTGTCTGTCCTTCCTCTCAGGACATCTCTCTCCCACTGAATCTGCATCCTTTGCAAGGAAGGGTCTTGGCAGGCTGCAGTGGAGGCAGGGTTACAGATCTGTAAGCTGTGTGCTGGTCACAGTCAGCAATGTACCCCCTTGCAAATGTTTTCATGGGAGTTAAGAACTATGTGAAGGAAGGACAGACGTGGTCTGTAAGGAGGGAATGTAAACCAGCTGCATGACCTTGGTCAGCTGGCACTGGTGTGGGGCTCCTCTGCCCTCACTCAGAGGGTGCCGAGGAGCCAGCAGGGCAAGGCGAGCCTTCCAGCATCAACATCCTGTGACGCCCGATGAGGAGGAGCAATGTGAGATGCTCCAGGTCAGAGCGAGCTGGGTCTTGCCGCTAAGTGGGTGGAATAATAGTAACCAAGAACAGTCATTTTACGATCACTCCAGGGCAGTGAGAAAAAGGCTCTCTCTCCTTCAGATCTCAAGGATGGTAATGAGTTACCTGCTTTCCAGCCCTGTTCCAGAATCTTCTTCATTCGCATTGAATGATTTAATCATTGGGTTGTAGGCATTTGGGGTTGTATGGCACCTGAGTGACCACCTGGATCCACTTTGGATCAACAAGGAGTCTCTTTGTCTCACCCGTGATGGAACCATCCAGCTTTCTACTTATCTTCAGTAATAGGGCCAATAATAAACCTAAGGGTAGCCCTTATGCCAGTCTACTTACCAGAAGATTCTGTATTAAGTGCCAGCCCGCCTCTTTGTAACCTCTGCTCATTTCTTCTGGCCCAACCTTGGTGAGCAACCTCCACAAATGGCTCTTCTTCTCCGTGACAGCTCTGTGCACATTTGCCTGCCAATTGGCCTTGCGTCCTAGATACCTGGGCCAGGGGCTCTTTTGACGCTGCTCTCCTGCCTTGATCAAGTTGGGGTTTATATGCTTCTCTTTTAACAGAGATCTTTAAATAGATGCTTGTTGGTGGTGGATCCTGGTCTACCTGGACCCCCTTTGATGCGGCACCAACAAACCCCAGGACCCGTGTTTGTGGGAACACACTGAGCATCCCCTTGGTTGTGCCTGATGTCAGGAAGAATACAAAAAAGCCTTCCAAGCTGTTTTCTTCGTATCTCTGTATAAAGGGGAGTAAAAGAGAGCTGTGTGTTAGAAGAGTGATGGCAGTGGGGAGAGAAACAAGGCTGTTGTTTTAGCACAGATGAGCAGACAAGAAAATTGCTCAGAACAGTCTTGTCCATGAAGCAGGGTTGGCGTTGATGCCACCACCACAGCCACTTCCAATTTCTTTGATATTGTTTCCCCTGATTTGTCATTTGTGGACAAATCAAAAGAAACCGTTCCCTAGCATCAGCCGTTATGAACCTGCTTGACGGTGGTTGCAGCCGTCATCTTCTCCTTTTCAGCTTTTTCATGTGATCACAGGGCTTCCTGTCTGCCTTTGTCTCCTTCCGAACGCAGGTGGTGCTCCCCACGTTTATTCTGGAGAAGCGATCCTTGCTGGAGATGTATGCGGACTTCATGGCGCACCCAGACCTGCTGCTGGCCATCACTGCTGGAGCCACGCCAGAGGAGAGAGTCATCTGCTTCGTGGAGTATTATCTCACAGCCTTCCATGAGGGCCGCAAGGGGGCCTTGGCCAAGAAGCCCTACAACCCCATCATTGGCGAGACATTTCACTGCTCTTGGGAAGTTCCCAAGGACAGGGTCAAGCCAAAGAGGACTGCTCCCCACTCTCCTGCCAGTCATGAACACCCGATGACCGATGACCCTTCCAAAAGCTACAAACTAAGGTTTGTGGCTGAGCAAGTATCCCATCACCCGCCCATCTCCTGCTTCTACTGTGAGTGCAAGGAGAAGAGACTGTGCGTCAACACTCATGTATGGACCAAAAGCAAGTTCATGGGCATGTCCGTGGGGGTCTCTATGATAGGGGAAGGTAAGCCACGTCATACATATGATGGAGTTTGGCTGTTATACAGTGACGTTTGTATACCTGGTAGACGATCGATGATTTTTGTGGGTAGAGTTCTTTCTTTGTATTTCGTTTTAGAATTGAGGGGGAGTGGGAGAGAGGGATGGTTTTTGTTATTTTGGGACCAAGTTCTGGTAATTTCCCAATGGGGCCAAGGTGTTGGACTCGGTGGGATGCAGCTTTTGCCTAACTGGCTGTGCCCTGGATCTTCACATGCCCTGCATGTGGGTGAGCTGCCTTATGTGTACTTAGTCTTTCAGCTTTGCGTGAATATTACAGTTGGCTCCAAATCTGTGAAAACATATTTTTTATGTATTCTCACTGGTGTTCTGGCTCACAGACAATGAGGATAATAGTGCTGCCTATTCAAAATCTGCTCATAAAAATTCCCAAGGCAAGTCTCAGGACTCTGTGCTAGAGATTCTGAAGCAGGAACACAGTGTGATCACACCATGCGTGGATTACACGTTCTTGTTTCAGCAAATAGCTGTGAATGAAGTTTATTCATTGTTTGAAGAAACCCATAATAATCCTTGTTAAATTCAAGCATCTGTATTAGTGGTTCTTCAACTTCTTTTGAGTCACAAATTCCTTTGAGACTTTAAGGGTATAGACTCTCTTCCCAGAAAAAAAAATCCACCACAAAGTTTGACTTTCAGTTCCAAGGAGTATGTGGCTGCTTGGAAGCCCTTCCAAACCCCATGAGATAAAAACTCCTTTCATTCACTGAGCACGTTTTTATTGAGCACCTACTGGATGGCAGACAGTGTCTTAGGAGCTATGGATATGTGTATGAACAAAACAGACCAAAAATTCTGTCCTCATGAAGCTTCTGTTCCACTGGGGACATAAAATTATGTTGGCTGTGTTGGAAGGTGTTAGTGCTATGGAGAAAAATAAGGCAGGGAAGGGACCTGTGAGTGGTGGGAAAGGGCAGTGGGACTGTAGGATAGCATAGTATGGGATGGTGGCAGGAAGGCCTCACTGAGAAGGTGACATGTGAGCAAAGACCCAAAGCAGGTGATGAAGGACAAGCCTTGTTGATCAGGGGATGAGTGTATATGGAAGAAAGAACAAGGCAGAGGCCCAGGGGCAGGGTGGTCCCTGGCATGTTGGTGAAAGGCAGAAAGCTGTGTGGCTGGAGCAGCGTGAATGAGGCAGGGAGTGAAGATGAGGACAGAGAGGTGACTGTGGCCAGATCATGTAGGGCCTCAGGGGCCAATGCCAGGGGTGTTTGACTTTTACACTGAGTGAGCTGCGTAGCTGTTGAGGGTTTTGAGCAGAAGAGTACCATGATCTGAGTTACAGGTTAGCAAGATTGTTCCAGCTGCTTGTTGAAAATAGACCACAAGAGGGGTCAAGGTGGAAGCAAGGAGACCAGTTAGGAGATTATTATAATAATCCAGGAAGAGATGATGGTGGCTTGGACCAGGATGGAAGTGGTGGAGGCGGTAAAATGTGGTGAGGGTCTGGATGTATTCTGAAGTAGAGAAAGCCAAGAGGGTTTGCCTCTGGATTGGATGTGGGGTATGAGAGAAAGGACACGCCAAGGCTTTTGAGCTGTGCAACCAGAAGGATGGAATAGCATTAACTGAGATGCGGAACACTGAGGGCTGGGGAGGGAACACTAGTTTGGAGGGAGAGTATAGGAGCTCAGTGAGGTTGTGTTATGGTTTAGCATTCAAGCTTGAGTAGACAATTGCATGTACAGGCTGGAGTTCTGGGGGGAGGTAAAAACGTGTAATTTAAGACCTGAGGACTAATGAGATTGCTGAGTGAGCACTGATCCCTGCAGCCCTCCAGCTTTAAGATGTCCCAAAGGTGAGGAGTAGACAGTCAATGAGACTGAGGAGGAGTGGCCAGAGGGAATGGGAGAATGTGTTTGCTGCGAGCCAAGTGGAGAAAGGGTTTCAAGGAGGGGAGGGAGTGATCAACTGCGTCAGATGATGCTGATTAATTCTGGGAAGATAAGAACTGAGAATTGACCATTGGAGTTTGGACTGTGCAGGTTATTGGTGACCTTGACAAGGGCTGTCAGTGGAGTGGTGCTAGTGAAAAGCTGATTGAAATAGATTCAAGAGAGAATGGGAGGACAGGAATTGGAGAAACTAAATATAGACAACTTTTCCTTGTTTATTGTTTGAATGCCTTGTACTGTTGAGGAAAAAACCTCTCCTGAGTTCCCCTTCCCTGTTCTGTGTCTGGGCTGTCGGTTTACCCTCGGACATGCTCATCTTCCATGCAGAGATAAGACGGCAACTCCAGAACACCCAGAGATGAGCCCATCTTCCATGGCGGGCCTTCATGGGGGTCTTCCATGCCCACAGGCTCAGTATTCAGCCAACTGACCCTGCGCTGACTGCGCCTTCCTCTCAATGATCAGTCAGGTTCAAGAAATTCACCCAAAGGAGATTCATCAGTTTGCGAGGGAGGCCAGGGACTCACCTGTCACCAGGTTGACCTTGGGCCACCTAGTTTTAGGCTTTCTCCATGATCTAGATGGGGATGGGTTGTGTGTGTGTAGAGGGAGGGGTGGACACATTCCTCTTTAAATAAACCACACCAATAATGAATATCATTTCCCCCTTATATACTTTTTTGTGGGAGTGCAACATTGCAACCATTTCCTATCTGGAAAATTCCACAAGACTACTAGTCAGAAGTAGCTTTCTTCTTAAGGAGGAGTTGTTACCTGCGATCACAGGACCATGAAATCTTGTAGCTGAAAGAAGGTTTGTCCATCTCTCAAGCCCCAGGGTTTCCAGGCGTGCCATAGACATCCCAGGGCTCCACGGAGGGCTCAGGCCCTGAGGTGCGTGAAGGGAGTGAGTGGTGGGGCTCTCTCCCAGCCCCACTGCAACCTGAGCATCTCCACTCTTAGCTGTTTACCTGTTGGACTTCCCTGTGAGTTCGTTTGCAAGAGGGTTCAGTTGCTTCAAAATGTTTAGCAAACCTCTTGTGAGTTCAGCTGCCCCGCGCCTTACAGAAGAGGAGCCTGAGGGAAGCAACTTGCCCACAGTTGCGTGTATAACACCTGACCACATACATCCTCCCCTCACCACAGCCCGGTGAGGAGGGCTGCAGGAAGGTGCCTGGCTTGCCGAGGCAGGGACCATATGTCATCGACGTGTCTCTCATCTGTGGATGAGAAAGCAGAATCAGCGAGGATCTAGGAGTCACAGGAGGCCACGATCAGGAATATAGAGGAGGTGGGGTGAGCAGCAGGTGGAGGACCAGGAGAGAGGTGGTGGGCGGCCGAAGGGCTTTAGGGTCCCTTAGGGGCAGAGCCAGGGCTGTTGAGGGCTGTCTCCCTGAAGCTGAGAAGACACCCGATTCAGGTTTGCTTTCGGAGGGGGAGGGGGAGAATGAGTTTGGGTGTATCCTTGCAGGCCTCTCTTCTGATCCCAGCGACTTGTTTCTCTCAACCCGTCCTTCTCTTCAGAGCCTGCGACAGGGAGCTGCCCCCATGCACCACTGCTGGGTTAAAGCCACGTGGGAGGTCCCAACAAGGCCTCCTGCAGTGCCGTGAACTCAGAGCTTGGGTTGAACTCCCCGGTAGCTCTCCCTGCTGAAGGCAGGGAGAGCAATGCAAGGCAGAGGATTGCTAAGGAGCCCATGTGGGAGGTTTCTGTTTGCGCTGATGCGTACGTTTGAGTTTGTAATAAGAAATGGGAGTGGCATTCTCTCGATTTTGACTTATCCGGGGGCTCTGTGTTTCTGTAGGTTGCCAAAGGCCCACCTAATGCCATGAGGTTTGTACGTAATGGTAAAGTCTTCTCCTTTGTTTAAAAACAAAATTGGCATTCAGGAGACTCTTCTCATTCTGCTTAATTTTATTACTTCTTCTAAATTTCCCACATGACAAGTCATTTGAAGATGAAGTATGTTTGTTTGCTGGAGAAGGCAGAGTGTTGGGCCGGTTCCCCCCGTGCGTTTGGCCTCACCGCCCGTGTGAGTCGATCCCCTGCACGTTCTGTAGACATACTGTTTTCAGTGTGTTTACTTCCTTATCTGAGGGGGGTGGCTCCCCTCAGTCCATGGGCTTATTCATTTGTTTATCATGCATCCATTCATTTGTGATGTGAACAGCACATTCTTGGTGCTGGGCATGCAGCAGTGACCTGGACAGACAGATGTCCCTGCCCTTGTGGAGGTGACGTTCTAATGGACGAGTCAAAACAAGACACAAGCATGTGATAGATGCTGGCTGGTGCTAAGGAGACAAAGCAGGACAGGATGATAGAGTGGAGGGCTGGCGGGGATGTGGCAGTTTTTAATAGGCCGGACCTCAGTGAGAATGGAGCACTTGAGTAAAGGCTTGACGGAGGTGAGAGAGAGTAAGCCATGTGGATGGCTTAAGAAAGGGTGTTCCAAGCAAACGGAGCAGCAGTTTCCAATACCTTGAGACAGGAGCGTGTGGCTGGGGTGTTCTAGGAGCAGCACAGAGGCCAGTGGGACTGGAGCAGAGTGAGCGAGTGGAGGAGACGAGATCAGAGAGAAGGGGCCAGATCGCGAGGGCTGCTTTGGGGTGGGTCCTGGAAGGACTTGGCTTTTACTCTTGAGTGAGAGTGGGAGTTAGTGGAGGGTGACACGGTTTTAGGGGCAGCCCCATGGCTGCTGTGTGAAGAAGAGACTGAAGGTGGAGCGGGGAGGGCCCAGTGGCAAAGCTAGAGGTAGGCACACAAGTTGTTTCTTTTCTCTTCTTCCCTCCCAAAGACACACACACACACACACACACACACACACTCTCACTCACTCACTCACTCACACTCACACTCACTCACTCACTCACTCACTCACTGCAGCTCTCTCTCTCTCTCTCTTTCTGTTACTTTAAATCTTTGGCCAAAATAAGTGCTTGGTGAATATAATATCTTCTGTTAAAACCAAATGCCTTCTCCGGTACCCAGAAAATGTTTATTCAAGTTCCTTTCTGGGGACTCCCCCCGCTCGGCAGAAACGCT